CTATATGTGAGACACGCAAAATTCGTTTCTCAACAAGATCACGAACGAAATGGATATCAATGGCTCTATATATGTTTCATACAGGAATGTAAAACAAGATTACTGCTTAAGTAAGTGGCCTTAATTTGACCACAAAAAAGAGTTGGAGAATCCGCAACGGAAATGCCTAGCTTAGCGCCAAAGGATGTTAGACCCACACCAGTTCGGAGGCTGCTGCAGCTAGCACACGGTACTGAACCTTGGTAGAGCTTCAAGCCACTACTTTTTGTTTTGCTACCCTTCAAGAAATAGGATTGGCACCCAAGAACAGCTGTAACCAGTGGTAGAGGAGTAGGTATCCCGATCACCGACCTAGTCAGCGTTGGAAAAAGCATGTAGAGTGAGTTGGGCATCAGGGCGAAGAAAAAATCCATGAAAGAGAGTACCACGAAGGTAACGGAGAATATTTTTAGCTGCTTGCCAATGGACTTCAGTCGGTCTGTGCATAAACTGAGAGAGTTTGTTGGCCACAAATGAGACATCTGGACATGTGAGGGCAAGATACTAAAGAGAGCCAACTAGCTGTCTATACTCGGAGGGATCAGAAAGAGCACAGCTCGAATGAAGAGATAATGTGGTGGTAGAACTAGTAGCCATCAGAGTGGAAACAGGCTTGACGTTACCTATGTTAAGTTTACGCAAAAGAACATGTATGCACCTGTGCTGCAAAAGAAACAGAATCGCATCAGTAGAAATTGTTCAATGAAGTTCAGATTATTTGAAGTCTTTGAAGTCACTGTGCCATCACAAGCTGCAACAGTTCCGTTTCTGATTTTTGATGTAATTTGACCTTGGTTGGGTAGCTTTTTGTTAACCTTCTGTCAGTATAGACACTTGTATACGGGGCTAAAATTAAGCTACTTGTAGTTGGTAAACTACTTCCTCTTTCCCGAAAGCTTGTGTTTAGTTTGTATAAAAGTAGAAATCAACAAAAATTTCCAGTGTTCTGCTCATTTTTCTCTCTGTTTTTCTCCCCATTTTTTCCTTTGAGCAAAAACGTTACAGAAATGGCCTCAATGCCCAGAAAGAGCGATAAATTGCCAAGATCCTTGAGGGAGAATAAATTATGCATAGAAGCAATAAGACTGAATGGCATGGATGTCACTTCCAGTTATGATAATATGGTCGACATAGACCAGAAAGTAGATCCAAGTGGAATTCCTATGAGGCACAAATAAGGAGGAATCAAATTTGGCATTATAGAGCCCTTGAGCCACGATGAACTTGTTTAATTCTTGGAACCATGCCTGCAGGGCCTGTTTGAGCTCGTAAATAGACTTCTGTAAACAACAGACATGATGTGGGTAATTTGAGTCCACAAAACGTGTAGGTTGTTGCATATAAAGTTCCTCATCAATACTACCATGAAGAAAAGCATTATTAATGTTCAATTGTCGAATGGGCCCCCCTACTAACAGCAATAGAAAGAACAGTATGAATTGTAATAGATTTTATCATTGGACTTAGTGGCTGGTGAAATCCTTTGGTCACTAAACATGCTTTATAACGCTCAATGATACCATCCTTGCCCCATTTTAAATGAAAAACTCACTTACAGCCAATGAGATGTTGGTGCAGGCTAGAAGGAATTACTTCCTGCGTTCCTTGAATGCACTAAACTCATCAAACATAGCCTGTTTCCAATTAGAATCTTTAAGGGCCTACGTTACGCAGGTGAGCTCAAGTGGAACTGGCGGGGTTGCTTTAATGGCATGGAAAAGCTTTTTAGGTTTGTAGATGTTGTTTTGGGATCGAGTAACTATGGGGTGTGATTGAGGGAGAGGGGAAGGTAGAGGCGGAGGGGAGGCAGGTTGTGAAGGCGCAAGTTGGGATGTGATGGATTGGTCAGTGGGCTCATGGGAAGGGCTGGAAGATTTGGATTGATAGGAAAGGAGGGAGTGGATTCCGTTCGAGATGATAAGGTGGGTGATAGTTCATGGGCCGATGAATGATGAGATTAGGCAATAATGGGGAGAGGGGGTGGGGTGGGGATAAATCAGTAGGTTCGTTTGGTGGCTAGGGGGAGGAGTGGACGGAGATGGGAAGGTGGATTGGTCTGATGTGTGGGCCGATGTAAAAGAAGGCAGTACGTGGGTCACAATTTCATTAGGAGCTCTTAGAATTGGCGGAGGCATGTGACTAGAAACCAACGGTGGACTGTCATGGAGATCCGAAAAGGGAGAACCGTTCGAGTATGACGGCAGGATGGACGGCAAGATGCACAGTGATCTGAACAAGAGCAAACTTGAAAATACTGGGTACCAGGTTGATGACATTCCATATGTTTCCACTTGCACCTACCACTGTGAAGAATACCTATCACTCAGAAAAATAAGTTGTATAAACTTATATCATTGGCAAAAGTAGACATATATAATTTAGAAGAGAATTAATCCACCTGCATCAAAATTAATGCCATTGCCTAACAGCTGTGGTGCAAGACGATTGAACTGAGTTGGAAATGCAG